GCCCCTCCCGCGGCCGGGGGTCAGGCGCGGTCCCCCGGCCCCGCCGGCCGTTTTCGCGCGCTTCGGGGCGTCTCCGCTCGCCCCCTGCGGCCCCTCCCGCCCCGCGCCGCGCCGAGACAATGGCCCGGAGCCGGCTCTTCCTCCCTCGTCGGCTGACGCGTCTTACAAAAATAGCTCCGGCTTCCGGAACCCCCGCCCGAGCCGGCGCCCTACCTGGCCGGGCCGCAGCCCTGGGCGGCACAGCCTGCCTCGGGGACCGGGTCCCGGGGTCCCCGCTCCGCCAGCGCGGGCGCGGCCCCGAGCCGGGGGCAGGGCGGGAAAGGGCAGCGCCCGGGGGAGGACGAGGGTGCCGCTGGGCGTCAGGGCGGTGGGGACAGGCCCTCCCACCCCCAGGAGAAGGGACAGGAGGGTCCCGGCCTCAGTGAGCCGCCACCCGGGACGCGTTCCCACCCACCCTCGCGCCCTTTCCGTGCCCTGGGCCTGATACCCAGGTACCGCCCTGGCTCCGGCTTCTGCCTGAGCTCCAACAAGGCTCCGCCGGCCAGCGCCACGCTCGGAAGCCCGGGCCTGTGGCCCGGCCGCCCTGGAGGCCCAGCTTTTCCTGCCTGGTGGCAGTGGTGGGGGCAGGGGTCCGGCATTTGTATCCTAGGCTGCGATGGGGGATCAGGAAACCTGCCTGCTCCACATAACTGCTGACACCCAGGGTAAGCGTTAGCACCTTGGGAGAGCACCCCTGCCACCCCACTTTGGGAGCCGAGAACCACCTGCCGGCAGGCGCAGCGCTCCGCAGGAATCGGCGGCAGACTCAGCCTGCGGCTGGGACTCCAGACACACTTGGGGGCTGAAACGAAATGTGTTTCTAGCTTGGAGCTGGCGGCACCGTGATTACCAACACTGGTATTCCCTGGGTTCCACCCTGTCACCCCAATTCAGTAATTTCATTCTGGCTTATAAACAGGCAACATGCACATCCTCTCTGGGTTTGGAGGAAACAGTGCATTATGCATAACCCACAGATCTGGTGTAGAGCTGCTGGGGGGACAGCCAGCGGCAGAATGGGCAATCACTTCACAGCTCTGCTTACCAGATAGAAAAGACGGAAACCAGGTCAAGGGGGAAGAAAATGAAAACGTTAGTTATTTATGAATAAAAACCAAGATTTTATAAAAGAACTTTATCCCTTTCCTTTCACAAGCTATTATAAACTATATTATGTCATCGGTACCCAAACGTGAGAAGGCCACATCTGTAGAAGGAAGGACAAGACACCCGACCTTTGGGATTCCTGTGGGATGCAGCCACTGCAGTCATCCATGCTCCAGAGCGGGTCCAGGGATTGAAAATGGAAGGTCAGGTTAGCAAGGATCCTGTGGATCATTCCATCCAATCCTCCCAGATGAGAAAAACAAGGCCTGGGCACCTGTGACTTTGCCAAAATGGAACCTAGATGCAGACCGTCTGTCCCAAGACCAGTGGTCTGTGTGCCAAAGGCGGAGGGCCTGCCTGCTCTCCTCCTCACACCACACTGCCCCCACACGCTGTTTTAGTTCAATGGGGTGTAAACTGAGCAACCTGGATTCAGTTGTGAAGGACAGACATTCAACTCAAATTGAGTTGGACAAAAATGGAAACATATTCACTGATGTCATTGAACAGTTCAGAATAAGTGTTAACTTCAGGCATGGCTAGATCCAGGAACTCAAAGGAGTCTTTAGACCAGGTGTCCTTCCATCTCTCCTCTATTTTCCTGTATTGATTAGTTTTCCTACCGGCAAACTTGGACACACATCCTTGGTTTAGATCCTAGAAGGAAAAGGCATACCTTTTCCCCAATAACTCCAGCAAAAGCCTGAGTACACATCCCTTTGGCCTGCCTGGCCCACCGTAAGTCAAGCAGCACTGTGCAGGAGAATGGAACACACTGACTGATGTGGCTCAGGGGCTAATGTTGGGAAGGGTGGTTCTCAAAGAAGAATTAGGGATCTGTTACTAAAAGGGCAGCTTATAGTGAGTAAACAAAAATGACAGATGTCAGTGTAATTCACAAAAGTGTCATTTCAGTTCTGGGAACCCTGGGAAGACAGGATTTTGTGTTTTGGGAGTGATTTTCTTGGCTCTCTTCAAGGCCTGCCCCATAGATAGCCACCTTTTGATGAGACTATTTCTTCTTCTCTGCCACAGGTAGGCTTGGGGCTGGGTAACAGCCCAAGATGAGACTCTGATTAGTAGCTTGAGACCTGGGCATTTGGAAAGGGACAGACCAGATTAGAAGGCTCTTTATCTGGTTCCCACAAATGATCTTAGCGTGGAACTCCTTTGTGTCACTTGCTTCTACCCCTAGTCAGGACTTGCTTTCATTTTAAAGATAGTAGGAGGGAATATTTTACTAAAACAACCAACATGTTTTCTTGGTGCTATAGTAATTACTAGCAAGAGCCTCAGTGTTTTGACTGCAGCCCCCACTTTTTGCACCCCCATGATGGTGTTCAGCAGTAAAGAGCTGTCTGCTGTCCAGTAGGAAAAGCAGATTAATGAACAGTAATAGAGCTTTCCGGAACAGCCATGAGACAGCAACTCACCATAATTGAATAGCAACTGCTCTACATCCTAATTTCACTCACCAGGTGACAAGTTGATTTTACAGTTGATAATTTAACTTCCAACACATAAAAATGTCATTCGGTTGAGTCAACTAGTAACTTTCCTTCAAATATGGATTTCTGTTGAAAAACACTGGAATTATAAAAAGGAAAGTAATGCTTACCCCTGTCAGACAAGCAAGGCCTACTTTGAGCCTATTCCTTCATCACATACATCACAGCTAAAGTCCAGCGAGTGGAAGATACTGGCGACACTATGCCGCTTTCTTCATTTTAATTAATCAGAATGAGGCATTTCTCAAAGAATGGCCCGTGCTGATGTCCTGTCTGAGATGATTCAGTTCCAGCAGCAGCATCTTCCAGGCCCTCCTCTCCCTTCTGTTCTGCATCAAGACGACTTTACACCCAGAGCGAAACTCAATCATTTCGAATAAACAAAATGTGATACCTTGGCAGTGATTTTGAAATTGCATCCTAAAATATTCTTTTTTTCCCCTTCTGATGGCTTACAAATAAAATATAAATTAAAATTAAAATAACTTTTGAGTGAACCTAATGAACAGAGCAATACATCGCACCATTATCATCTTTGCCTTGGTCAGATGGATAATGTAAAATGCAAAGGAAAGCAGCCGTCCATACCTGAGTGTGGGCGAGGACAGAGATCAGAAGGTGGGCCTGTGTGCCTGTGCACACACGTGTAACTGTGGGATTGACTGCACGTTATCACTGGAAACCCTCCGGGCAATGCTGGGTCCCACCAGTTCAGGCACCCGGGCCAAACTGCTGTGATACAGGAGTGCCCTCTACTGAGCTTCTCGGGTAGCAGATGACAACCTCTACAGAGGCACAGGGGCCTAGTGCTTAGCAAATGTTCAATCAGTATTTATGGAATGAGTGAATGGATAAGTGACGCCCGAACCTTGTTCTCCCTATCGCGATGGAGGACTAGTTCTCTTAGAGCCCCACTAAGGGGCTTAAAGTGAGACAGTGTCAAGTGCGCAGGGGTGCTTCTGTCTGGGGCTCAGAGCTGGGAACAACCAATCCCAAAACCCAACCTGGGGCCTCCCCGGGAAAACCAAGGAAAAAAAGCGCCCGGGGGGGCCGGGGAGGAAGGGGGGGTGAGGGTTGGGGATTACTTGCCAGGAGAGGAGATCCAGGAGACCGGCAGGGCAGGAAAGGGCTTTACCAGGAAGCTGTTCAAAGAATCACAAACTAATGGAAGAAATAGAAAAATAGCACCCACGAAACCCAGCTGAGATTAGAGATGGGAGAAACCAATCTTTGCATGTAGTTCATGGGCAGGTGTGGGCAGCTGGAAGTGGAGAATGAGGCCAATTGGACAGAGAAGCATCCAGCCTGCAGCAGCGTGGTCTGGCACTGAGGCCCTAATCTGGCAGGACAGGCTCCTCAACGCGGACCCACACAACACTCTCAGAAGCCCGAGGGCGAGCTGGAGGACCTCATCCCCACCACCACCCGGTTGCTGTGCCCACCCCAACAGAAATGTTCGCCACTCAGACACCGGCATCAAGGAGAGCCCTGTGGATGGGGCTGTGGATTTGGGGGAAGACAGATGAGAATCACGGATGCCTGCAGGCTTTTGTTTCATTCAAGTGGTCCAAAGCCTGGAAAGAAGCAAAGATCCACTCCTCTATTGTCCATTCAAGTTCATGGTTTTAATGGAAAAAAAAGTCAAGGTGCCTTATTTTTTATTTTGCTAAGCAACAGGATTTCATTTTTCCAACAACCACTACTACTAGTGTTTTATATTGTTGTTGCTATTTTTGGCAAAAAAAAAATATATAAACATATAGCTTAAAGACTTTTTCTCCATTCAAGTCTTCATTAATAATTATCAATCTCTATCATAGGCCTGGCAGGGGTGGGGACCCTGCGGCCTCAAGGCCACATGTGGCCCTCTGTATTCCCAAGTGCGGCCTTTATTAAAAGGATTTGTTCTGTAAAATTTTGATTCAGTCAAGAGGCTGCACTCGAGGATCCAGAAGGCCACCTGTGGCCCCAAGGCAGCAGGTTTCCTGCTTGGAACTCAGGACTCAGGCATACAAAAATGACAGAAAAGTATTTATATCAGTGCCAGTATCTTTTCAGTTGAGAAGGAAGAAAAGGCTTGGTATGCAGAAGTTATTTCTGATTCCTTTAATAATTCAATCACAGTAATTAAATTTCTACTCTAATAGCTACAGTGAAAAAAAAAACAACAACCAGTAACAATAAATATCAGGTGATTACAGAGCTGCCCCATGAACCAAAAGGTATTTGAT